TACTGTGTTTTAAATTCGTAAATGAAGTTGATTTCTCGAGAGATTACTTTTTTTAAATGTGGCTGAAATTAAAGTATTTATAGACATGGGAAAGTGCTCGTTAGTATAATTACAAGCATGAAAAGTTCTCAAATTTATAAACTAACAAAAATAAGAATTACGAGTTAACAATTTTGTAAATTGCTCACTAGAAACATCAGGATTAAGCTAAGAAAGTGTGGTAGCATATATTTATACATGGAACAGGGAGGAGGTAGTAGAAAATATAAGACTCAAAAAGGTATCAAAATATTTATGCAAAAACGCTTTTGACAGTCCCCATACTAAACTGATCTTAAACAATAATTTGAGTAGTGAGACTTTGGTCATAGGTAGATGAGCCAAGCCATATAAATAATCTGTATGCTAATAATGTTAAAAATTATGTCTGCAGTGCCAATGTTCAATTTAAGCTTTATTCATTGAATCTTTTCTGACACCAGGTGAGTTATGCTGCCTGTGACTCTGAAGTGTTGAGACCTTTCGGTAATGAGAGAAAGGACAAGATAGCTCAAGGGAAGATTTTGCCAGGATATGGCAAAGAGAAAAATGAAAGAATTTTGGATAATGATGAGCAAATGTTTCCATCCTGAATGTTATCATTCGGCAGGCAGCTGCTTTGAATGTGGTGGGGTGGAGGATTGTGAAGAAACACAAACGTGTTTCCTTTAGAATTGAAAAAGCAAGGATTAAGTGGAAATAAAACCAGTACAAAAATATTATTACAACTTGTCTTGAAAAGGAAAAAAAGTTTGGTTTTTTTTTTTCACTATTCTAGACAGGTGAAGCACTAGAAATTCACTGACAAATGAGGAAATTTCCCACTAAGTCAAAACTGAGTTTTCTTGTCACTGTTTTAATAATAACTAACACAATCAACCTCTTCTGTTGCCACTCTCTTCCAACAATATTTTTTTTTAAACTAATAGTCACCTTTTACAAGGCCCAAGAACCACTCAAGGTAGATAACTACTCAAGGAGTTTATTGTGTAAGTGGTAATGAGTGAGAAAGCATCCTCTTGGGAGTTGGTTCAAAGGAAGAAGCTGTGTTAGTGAAACTTGCTTCTTACAAATGAAATACGAATACTTCCTGATAATTTTAAAATGAAAGAAGGACAGGTAGATCCTGAATCTTTCATTTGATAGAGGTCATGTGCTTCCTGTAGACTCTCTATTTTTGTAATCCATGAATAAAATTCAGCAAACATACCTCAAACTATAAACCAGTTTTGTGCCTATTGCCTACATAAAACTAAATTTTAATGTTGAACATGTACATGATCTGATGGTAAGTGTTCAGTAAAAATAACAGGTACCAACCGAAATAAAGATGTTTATTTGTAAAGTTTAATTATTGATTTCTCCCCACCAGTCCTTTTGTTTCTTTTCTTTATTTTTTCTTTTTAATTACTGCAAATTCTTTGAACATTGCAACTTTTGCTTGACCAATGCAAACACTAATGACTATAAACATATGACTGGTAGAAAACTAAGAATAACTAGAAATAAACATGATTAAGTTACAATAATAATTTTACAATCACAAAATATCATAAACATAATGATCTCAGACTAAATGTAAATAATAAAACCTTATTCCAGAAAAATTCAAACAGAAATCACAGAAAACTCTGAAAATTTTCCTTCAACTTCAGTATAAAATGATTCAGTGATACTTCTTCATACAATTATATATAATAAAATATCTTTTATGACAAAGCCAAGATTTTACAAGCCATCAATTCAGTAGGACATATACCTGACATTTCTAACAATTGACCTCTGCTCTTTCTCATGACCAATTTGCTATAACATATACCTGATGTCTCCAACAAGTGACGCATACTGTTACTCTCTGCTAATTCACTTTGACATACACCTCACAATTCCAGGGATTGACCCATGATTTTAATCTCGACCAATTTGCTACAATATACATTTCTAAAGAGTAACCTTTTCTATTAATCACAAAATGTTTTATATAAGTGACATGTACTAGTGCTATATATCCTTAAATATATAGAGACACACAGTTTGTCAGTTTAATGTTGTCTTATAAAATGTTTTATTACAAAATTCTTTATGAAGTTAATATTTTCTTGAAAATATTTTTGCAATAAGTTGGAATTGTTGAATGTTGCTCACTTCAACATCCAAAGTTCATAGGGCAAAAACTGTCTTTTTATTTTGTTAAGGCCCAAGAGTCATAAAACATCATTTCTGAAACATGAGAAAAGACTTAAATGGTTTTCACAGCAACTGTTTCTAAGCTACTGATGGACTATAAAGCCAAAGCCAATTTCACCGATGAGAGGATATTCAACGAGGCTGGCATTAGTGAGGGACCCCATGATGCAGGAGACTACATGATCAGCCAGGCCATTTGCATCAAAACCGACATGAATGCCAATGACGAAACCAGTGGCATCCGCAGAGACTCTCAACTACTACGATTTAATGTGTATTGATTTTCTTTCACAATTCTATCTCAACTACTACTTTGTTTCATACCCTGAAAAAACTCTCAAACTCCCACAACTGATTATATGATGCCCTAGAATGTGCAAACAATTGAACCTTGTAAATCATGGGGGGAAATAAAACCATTTTATTTATCTCAGCCGTGTTGTTTTGTCACTTCCACTTATTTTCTTGTTAACAGTAAGGCTGCAGTTGCATTGCCTCCCCTTAATTCTTTATATTGCATTCAAGTTATTCCCTCTTGAGAAAACCCTTTCATCTTGTGATCCATTTTTTGATAAATTAAATATACATGAACAACTTGTGTTATCTTGTCAGATTTCAAAATCTCATGAGCTCAAGTTAATCCTATAAGTAAAGTTTCACATAAGAAATTTTAAAGACAGTTCTGACAGGGTCATGGAATGGAAACTAATATTGCTGGGCTCTGGACAAAGCATGATGAAAGTGGAGTCAAAAGATTTGCTCTCAAGCAAACAGAAGAAATGAGATTTTCCATTATATTTTGTATTTTTATGTATAAAAAACAATTGGTAGATAAATTTTTAAAGTAATTGTGTGTGTGTGTGTGTGTGTGTGTAAACATTTTATCAATCAAATTTAAGGATGAAAATTCAAAACATGTCAGCATTTTCCTATTGGAGTAACAGACAAGACCAGGTGATTGATATTATTAAAGGTTTATTTATATCAGCTTCAAATGTACATCTATGTCCACATAGATAAATATTTATTAGGCAGGCAAAATGGAAGATCAAAACTATGCTTTGTTAATGAAGTCAAACAAAAATTATCTTTTTGGCACTTCAACATGGTGTAATAGTTAACAAGCATGTCTTGTTAGATATATTCTGACTGAATGGAGAGTTCAATCCTCACCGGGCATGTCATATGGCGATATACCACTTTTGGATTATTAATATCCTAGGTACAATATTTTTTCACAATTAAACTTGCATTTATTGCAATTAATTGTCATACCTGTACTATTTAGTTTTCTCAAATCTCCGTTTTACTTTTCAGCTCTTTTTTACTGCATGCACCAATGTCAATGTTGTCCTGATATACAATTATATTTTTAATCCCCTCTAAAACCTTTTTGATGGCTTTTTAAAAAATGTGACTTGATGTTTTTATTCTAAACTGCAGATGAGTCCCTCTTATTAATCCAATAGAAGGTGTTCATTGTGGTGACTTCTTGAAACTTGAAAATACATAGGTTGAATGCTTTCTTTAGGTCAAATATTTGCCTCATATTCCCTTACTAATGCAACATCTAGTTCTATAGACTTCATGGAATTAATCAGCTTCAATGTATCCACTCTTAACACGTCAATTCCTAAAAGACCGTGGCTTTTGATGTTTTCCACCAATATGATGGGTATTATCTTGACTCTGTTTTTTGTCTCAAACGTGTGTTCAAAGCATCCTAAAATCACAGTGTTACACTTTTTCAAATTTACTCCTAGCAACCATAGCCCAACATATCATACCATTTTGGAATCAGGCTGATTCCATGAGCAAATTAAGAACATTCTGGGCCAGATTTGAACCCACAATCCTGAACTTTTGGATTCTCAAATTATCATTACTGTGATTGTTTTTAGCAATTTTTTACATGATTTATTGCAACAAATTTTTTTGCAAATAAATTTAGGAATAATCAAAATTAATTGCAAAATCCAGCAAAAGTCACCCATGAAATAAAAATTGCTTGTATGGAAAGTAGGGACCTACATACATCAAATTGTCTTCAAATTAAGTGGCAGCAGAAGAATTATCGCTGTACTTTTAAAAAGTAAGCTTAAATATTAATGCAATACTTAAATGCAGTAATCAATTTTGAGTTCTGTAGTTTATTCTTGCCTATCACATCTACTTCTTCGTACCTATTGTGATGTAATCAAGAGCCCTCCAAAGCTTAAATGCTGATAGGGTGTGTGTGTGTGTGTGTGTATATATATATATATATATGATAAATGTATAATTTAAGGTATGCTATAATTATGTTCAATATCAAGGATAGGGCATATGTACATATAATAGTGGAAATTGAAGTCAACACACAGAGGTGACAGTCTGTCTTATGGTTAAATGTAATCATCAGTCCATATATATATATATATATATATATATATATATATATATATATATATATAAACTATGCACCATTATGAGTGAATTTTCACTTAAGAGATTTTATCTTTTAAGGTATGATATTTGAAGCTGTCCGTGCTGGAGCCTGGAAATAAAAAGCCCAAGATGGTTGAAAGAGTTTATACTATGAAGATAAATATTATATCACAGATGAGGTAGAGAAGGCAATTTTAAGAGAAACCCCAGGATATTTGTACCTTCCGTTCTGAGATTCTACTTTCACATCCATCTTCCCAAGATGATACTCTATCTATTTTGGTTCCACTCAAAAGAACCTCTACTTGCAACATGGATTCATGTCATGATTATTTACCTTTCTTCACTCAGAGGATTTCCTTTCCAGTATAAGAAAGCATTTTGGGTTTGTGGCACAGAAAAGACTGATAGAGAAACAAGAAGGAAGAATCGAAAACAAGTGTGTACGTCTTTGAGAGAGAAAAGAGGATGAAAGTGAAAGCGATAAATAGAAAAGTAAGAAAACATGACAAGATGGAGATAAAATATACAGAAGGGAGAGGAAAAGAAGAATTAAAGTAAAGAATATATTTAAAAAAGTGTGTGTGTGTGTGTTTAAGAGAGAGATAGAGAGAAAAAAAATAGGATGAAAGTTGGAGAGAAAATGAATGATATAAGAAAAATAAAGAGAGAGAGAGAGAGAGAGACAAAAACTACATGGGGAAAAAAAAGAGAGAAAGAGGAAAAACAAAATGAGAGTCGAGTCAAAAAATAAATGTGTGGGGGAGGGGGGTAAAAAAAACCCCAGCAAGATGTAAAGAAAAAAGGTTTGGTATGTTTATTTTACCAGCACAACAACTCTCTTAATTAAAAAAAAAAGGAGAAGGGGGAAGGAAGCACAAAAGACAAAAAAAGTGAAAAAGTAAAAGAGAAAGAGACAAAAACTGAAAAAGAGAAAAAAAAAAGATAGAAGTGAAGTTAGGATAAAGGATAATTGGAGAAAGAAAGAGAAATTTTCTTTTTATAAAGATTAGCTGAAATGCATGACTGAGAAACAAATTTAATTATTTAATGGCTTCTATCTTAACTGCAATAAAGAATTTGTTGGACATTTGATTTTAATATGAAAACCTAATTTCAGTAACAAAGTGTTTTCTTTTCTCATCATTTTTCAGCTTCACTTCCTTCCGATCATTAGTTACAAAATGTACCCAAGTAAACAATTTTAAGCAAATTACTAGTGGGACGCCATGACTTTTGTCTGGTCTGAAAGGTCGCATGACCTCTTTGAAAGCTCATTAATATTAGGAGCCTGGCAACTTGTATGAAATGCTCATATACCTACCTTCAATATATTAATGTACAAGATGCCACGTAAAAACTTGTAAAGTTCGAACAGATTGATTAGTCTGTTCATCGGTCCAGATGTTACCCAAAATTATTTTTCCACATGTGTCAAAGGGCATTTCCAAGTTTTTAGTTCCCATGTACCAAAGAACATTTTCATTCAATGTTTCATGTCCATGACTTAAAAAACATTTCATGTATAGTCAAAACTGACTCCACTAAAAATTTTCCTTTACTGTACTTTCTTTTTCTTGCTTTCGCTTCCACAAATTTTGAAGTGGCACCTTGTACTTTCTAACACCAATCTAAGTAATACTTATTTCCCAGTATGCCTACCAGCAACGTTGGTTTGTTAATATGTGGCAGATGCCTGCTCAAACACATTAATGTATTTTTTTTTTTTTTTTTCTTACAGCGTATCAACCTCAATGGGTTATTTAATGCTGACAAGATTCTTATTGCTGGTGATATTTTTTCCAGAAATGTATTGCTGGTATTAAAATCTATTTTTACAATTTCATAGTGTTTTAACCCCAGTTTGGGAGTTAACTGTTTGCCCATAGTTGGGACCCTAATAGGTGCTACCACACCGGGTCAGGGTGGACCTGGGAACACCAGCAATTAAGGGTTGGTTCCACGCTCCTCGAAACCTCCTGATCAGAGGCCTTGCTGTTAGACGTAGTTTATCGTCTTACCCAGGACAATTTGTGTTTCTTCAATATCTGCAGGGTAAACATTTAACTATCTGAAAAGAGCGCACCTAATCTGGCATAATCAACAATAAATAAATAAATCTAGAAGCAAATTAATATTACTATTTAAATTTCATAATCAGTGATAACTTTTGCCTAAATATTTGACTTCTGGATTATAAATAATTTTGGAAGCAAATTAGATCATAGCAACAGCTAAAATTGAGCCACTTTTATATCTCACTGCTTCTTGTAATGCTCAACTTCATTTTAAAATGCCTATAGAAGTAGATAGGTTCACCTATTATTCAGTTCACCCCCCCCAGCTTGGTTTTTCAAACAGGACTAGAGGTTTATCCGTTGTTTTCTGTTTAGGATTCTGGTTCCTTCTAAAGTCTGCTTCAGCTCTATACTCCAAAAGCTATACTAATATAATTCCATACAGTAAACCTTGACCATGAGTGGTTCTTGGGCCTTGTATTGAGTGAACATTATTAAAATAAATATTATATATATTATATATATATATATATATATATATATATATAATCCATTGAGACATGGTGGAGTAATGGTTAGCAGCTTGAATCCAGTTGAATCCATTACATTCACTTACATACTAATACCCTTGGGAAAGGTATGAATCCTCTTCCTCTCCCTCCACCTATGGACAGGCTGGGTTCTATAGTCTTGGATGGCAACTATTCTAGGAGAAGGACAACTCAAAACTTCAATTCAAAACTTGCAGAGGGTCGTTTGGGGGCTTTGTGGTACATAGTGCACCAGGTCTCTGATGCACTACGGCCCTTCAAAAAGTGTGGATTGTTATGAACAAAACCTTCATCACTATAATCAAATCTCATGTGCTGGTGTTGCACTTTTGGTTTCTAGGAACTGATCTGCTTGAACCTCATACGTTGAATTCGATGGGAGAGTCAAGTATAATAATCCATGAATGTCTATTGTCCTAAAAGTGGTGGATATTAATGGGTTAGAGGTAAAAACTTATAACACCAGAGTTTTTAGAAACCTCTTTTATTAATATCAGATTTCTTTTGTGACCTATTGAATAAGGCCATTGCACCCCAACTCTCATTCATGATGACTTGTGACTTTGTGCTAGCACAACTATCAATGGCTTTTGAACAGCTTTGTTAACTTAATTTCATTGACAATGCATGGATCAACCAAGGGTATGATTTTTAGGCTCTTCTTTAAGAGGATTGTTTCCCAAGGTCAGTATTACCAAGAAGTCACTTCCATGACAAATTGGCCATGGCGAGATTCTAAATTGGTTCCTATAGTCAGAATGCTAACCACTTGCTCACAGTCCCACATCTACTCACATATGAATAGCACCTGTGTTGCACATTCTATGTTACCACAAAATATACTAACTCAACTACTCGACATTAGCTCATTACCCATGCCGCCATTGTTCGCCTCTATCAAGAAGTATTTTCTTTTATTTCAAGAAAAGAATGTCCTTCCTTGAAAACCTTAATGTACACTTGTCTCACTACACTCCTTTGAAACACAGTTTCTACTCTGACAATTTATGGATGAATTTAGTCTTGATTCTGTTCAGAAACACTTTCCATTTCAGTGGACACAAATCAGGTCCAAGGTCAAACATCTGACGAGATGTAGGATTTTTGCTTGGAAAATTTCTTGTTACAGTCTTGATGTTACAAAATGTCAATTTTAAAATGAGCAAAGAATTACAAAGCAGTGTCGGAGTATTTTTTCAGAAAATATATCAAATTATTTATTAAATTTAGGAAAATACTGCCTCCTCGACAGTGACATCCCAATCCTACGAACATAATAAACTTGCAGATAGAAAAAAAAAACCTCATTTGAAACTGTACATAATGACCTCTTTGAATAATTGCAGTACTTCCTCAATTATTTGTATCTTGATTATTCAGACGTGAAATGAAAAGAAAAATTGAAATTCAAACATTTCTCAGTCATCCAACCTAAACTTACTCTAATCTTTCATCTCAAACTAGCCTTTTGAGAATTTGGAAAAAAATCATACTCAACATTTGATAAAAATGCTGATAATTCAATTCTTGTTAATTTTCTCATTATTTTCACAAAAGAACATACATTTGAATTACCACAATTGGTCATGTGAGAGGATTATGGCTTATACAACTCTCATAAAAAATGAAACAAAACTTTGAAGACAGGTTTTGAAAATGTTATTTGATGATTTAAATTTATTTCAAAAATGATTTATTTTTAATCTTTTTTAATAATTTAGTTAGTCAGTTAAGAAGAATTTTGAATTATCTGAACATATTTTTTCACTGATTGAAGGTGTCCGGATAATCAAGGATGTACTTTAGCTTTTCAAACAATCTAAAGTATTTTAAAGCATCCTGTTCAAAGGCTTTGAATATTGCTGCTACATCTGGCCTGGTGCTTTTGCTATATATTTAGAGATTCTTGATAAAATACAAAGAATCTGCAATGTTATTGGTTCTGACCTGGCATATCAGTTTCAGTCAGTTTTCCACCGTCATTTTCAATACTTTCATGATTATAGTTGATGTTGTAAGGTATTTGAACTGCTATGATTTACTTAGGAAAGATATTAGAATAGTCCAGAACTTATACTGACAGCAAACAACCTGCATATGGGTAGAAAATTAATTTAGCAAGTACACTTAAACAGAAAGGGGCATATGACAAGGAAGTTTTCTTACTGGATTTATACAACCTTTAAATTAAGGCTATCCTAAAGGAGATGGAGATCCTAGCAGAAATGGTGGACACAATCAACAATATAATAACACCCTATTGATAGCAGACACAGAAAGGAAACTGCAGGAATTCTTATGCAAGCTTATAATGGAAAGGGAGAAGAAAGGAAAAGCGATCAATCGTAAAAAGACAATGTCTGGTCATTAGCAAAAGAGGCAACCCAAGATGTAAGCTACAAATTGGGGATGTGAAAGTCAAACTAGTTCAGAAGATTAAATATCTGGGAAGTATTTTAAAAGATGACAGAAAATATGACACTGAAATATGAAAGTGTATTGGAATATCAAAAGATGCCTTCCAAAAACTGAAAGTATTAAAAAAACAGGAACATTTCATTAGAAACAAAGAAAAGAGTGCTCAACTGCTATGTAACATCAATCCTTCAATATGGCAATGAATTTAATCACCGATGAAGAGAAAATGAATGGAAATGTGGTTCTACAGAAGAATGCTGAGAATACCATGAATGGAGCATGGAAACAATGAACAAGTTTTAAGGAAAATGGAAACAAAAAGGAGAATTATACTTACAATCAGAATGAGACAGTCAAAATTCTCTCAGACACATGAGAAAAGAAAGGTTAGAAAATTTGACATTTACAGGACTTATTGAAGACAAGAAGGACTATGGAATGTATTGATTAACCTACCTAATTAGCATATGTCAGTGGGTGACATGGGCAGGAAGAAGGATAGTAAAAATGATAAATATTG